TCTAGGTTTACTTTGGCTAACTTCACAGTAAGTACTGCCACAGACTGGTACACAAGTACTTTATCAGGCAGCTGCACTAAGCCAGATCAAGCCAGGTAAAGCACATTATTCATATCTCTGCACTAAAAGGATGGCCCTTATTCAGCTTCTTCAGGATGGCTTGACCCAGTTCTGTTGCACTGGGCCACAAGGATCTGTATTTCCCAATCTTCCAGAGTGAGACATCAACTTTTTTTATTTTTTCCCCCTTCAAATAGATCAAAATCCATGCATTGTCTTTGAGTTTTCATGGGGAAAAAAAGGAACATCCATAACAGTGCAAACTTTTGGTTTGGCTTATTATGTCATTTTCCCCTCATTTTGTCTGCTAGTTTATGTAGGAACCTATATTTTTATTTAACAGCAGCTTTTCTGCAGACTGCTTTGCGGTGTCCTATGGAAAATGGACAAATTATCCATATGATTGTAGTTTATGTAGTTTATCCTATGGCCATGTAGGCCATAAGATACAGACTCACAACAATGCGACTTTCCTACTGCAAAAGAAATAAGCAGTCAACAGAGTAAGGAAGATGGCAATGAGTAACTCAGGGAACCTTTCCTGTCTAGGTATGGGAGATGTGCCACGTTTCTCTGCAGGCGTGGAGGCTTTGGTCTGAGGTTGTTAATTTTTCTGCAGAGGACACACAGAAACAGCAAGACAGGCAAGCACTAAAAGCAATCCAACTTCTTTCATAAATCAGCAGGATACAGTATCCAGTTGTTTACTTAGCATAATTTTACACAGACTAGATTGAACAAGTCATGAAACACTGGGCACAAGAGCTGAGAAATGCTGCTATTAAAAAAGGCATGCGGAAAACTTTCCCAAGGGATGCCAAGAGTGTGTGTGGGAAGAGGTAGGAGGAAGAAGCAGCAGCGTCAGGGGTTATAACAAACAGAAGAGAAGCAATTGTGTTTTTCCCTCAAAATCAGTTACTAAACTTTTCAAAGAGAAAAGCATTGCTGGAAGCGGAACACAGGAGCGACCCTGGAAACAACCGTGCAGCTGCAAGGAAAGGCTCCAAAGCAGTTAAAGCAGAGTCAAGCTTTAGGGTGTAAGGCAAGTTTAACAGCTTGGATGCAGGCTGATTTGCCAAGTAAGCTTTGCTAAGGTTTTAAATGCTGTTTGCTTCACAAGAAAACAGATTCTTGTAAGTAAACAGGGACTGATAAATCTTGGGAGTCATGGCAATCTTATGGTCATGGAAACCTAACAGTATGGTCAGTGAGTGGAAGGGATCAACATGGACTGAACACTGCCTTCTCCAAACCCATGTCACAAAAGGAACAGAGACCTTACAATAGAAAGATTAATGACTGACTACATATAATGCCTCCCTCACAACAAGCATGCAGCGTGAGATTCATCCTACATATGTAGATTTTGTAAAACAATTTTTAAAGCGTGCATATGCCGACAGCTTGCACTGTTCCCCTTTTACAGCCATTGGGCTCATTGCAACAAGAATAAGAACGGCTTTCCATTGATGAAAACTGGTGGGGTTTTTGGTTTTATTTGTTCTACAGTCCAGTGAAATTTTTTCAGCCTACATGCACTGCAGCTTTGCCGTTTGAAAGTGAAAAGAAGACCTACCTGTGCACCATCCTGTAGTGATACCTATGGATCTTTAGGTCTTACAGTTCCATTAGTGCTTGCTTTAGTGCTGTAGATCTAAAGATCAGTAAAGATCCAGTCTTCTAAGTATTTTCCTTATTTGTTTAGAAAGGAGGAAAGTAGAAGATGCAGGGAGGTTTTATGCACATCAACATCCCCCAGTGTTTCAGGCAGCAGAACTAACTAGTCATAATTTATTCAAAGATCAAGCTGATAGGCTTCAGCCCACCTCTCTTCTCTCATCCTTGCCACCATTCTTTTCAAAATTAAAATCTAAAGAGAAAACCACAAGAAAAGATGAGAAGGATGAAGAGCACTTCCACAGTGCCATGTGCACTACAGAGCTCTAATATTTCTTCCAATGCCTCGAGTCAGAGGTTATAATACCTCATTTTCCTCATGCCAACCAAAACATTTTAAGGAAAGCCTTCACTCTGACTTTGACATCCCTCCTGTGCAGATGATCAAAGCTTTACAGCCCAGAACTGACATAACTTCACTGATCCTGAGCAACGTGTGAATTGCAGAATCATGGCCTTGAAAACTGAAAATCTGGGGTGTGCCCACAGAGCATGCCAATACATTAGGTTTTCTAATTTGTTAAGCATTTGGCAAAACAAGCACTGGATCAGAGGTATCCCAGAAGAAAGGAAGTCTTGTGTCTGTTCTCAGTTCAGGTTAGTCAGAATAATCAGATATCCCCCATGGCACTGCTTGAATTTAAGCAGAAAGGCATAACACTGCCAATAAAACGTGCACACAGGCACAAATCACCTACAGCTTCAAGCAACCACTCATCAGAAAACCACAATTTCAGTTTTGTGAAAGTTTCCACTCAAGCCTCTTTCTCCATGGGCATGGATACAGTATCACCATTAGCAGCTCATCTAACTGTAGCTCTTAAAGCAGGCGGAGAAGGTGAATTTGTGGCTGTGGTTCCCTCAGCATTTCTTTTGGAACAGTGCTAAGGGTGGAAATCATTACCCTTTCTGCTCCCATGTTCACTCCTCCCACTGTCCCCATAAGTTGTGGCAAGCTAGGACCAGGATGGACCTGCACTGTTTGCCAGCAAAGGAGGTGTTCATGAAACAAACCCTTGAGGAACTGAAGCTATGGCTTGAGGATATGGCTATCTCCAGCAGAAATACCAGTATGAGCTACTGCCCCTTCTCTCTGATGGCCAGCAGTGGATCTTTTCCAGTATCATGCCGCCCTCTTCATAGCAACCACATCAGAGTATGCAACATCATGTGCTGAACTCAATCAATGAACCAATACAGGTTATTTATAACCAGGGGAAGGAGAGGAGTAAGAGTATTTTAAAACTGGAACCAGAGCCTGTTCACTGATCCAGGTCACCGCTTGACCCCAAGGCAGCTGTGCCGGCACAAGTGTTGGGAAACGGGCAAGGAACCAGCGAGCAAGGCTGGGCAAGAACATCCTACAGCCACATCTGCCCCTGAGAAAATGGTACATGCAACAGCATCATCCATGCCTGGTGTAAAAAAGTGGACTGAGTTAGTACAACTTGGAAGAATTTACACATTTTTAGTCTCTGTGAGTTCTTTTCTTTGAAGCAAAAACACATGAGCTCCACTGGCAGGAATGACAATGCTTTTAAGCTGCATGGGGCTAGCTAACATCTCCAAACTCCTCCCTCTGACTACCCTTCATCCCCTAAAAGCATTGCACTTGTGAGATAAAAGACAGTTCCAATATACAACTTTTCAAAACTAGACAAAAATTACAATAAGTTCCAAAACTTAGTCCTGCAATATGAGCTTAGCTTATACTACAGACATAGTAAAGACAGCATTTTTCAACTGTCTTCCTTTTTCTGTGCAAGCTCTCTGTTACAACTGTTTGTAATTAATACATGCTATTAAAAACAGAGGGAGTGTGAAACAGAGCCAATCTGAGTATTATGGAAGAAGCCATTGTCATGCACAGTCCAGCAAGCTGCCCTGTGTAAAACTGCTGCACAGATGAAAACATTTGCTGTGCAAAGAACATTCACTGTGTGTCAATATACCTTCATTCTTCTTTGGTTTCTCTGCTTGTTAACTGCAGCAAAAAAGCACTGCCTCCTCATGAAGGCAGCCTTTGGAAAACTTCAGCTGAAAATTGATCTTTATCAAGCCATCTAACAAAAAAGGGAATATCTAGCTGCTGGCAGACACAACAGCTGAAGTTAGAGAGCAATAGTCACACTGCCCATCAATCACTAGAGATTCAGAGATAAGACTGAAGCCCTATCAGTTGACCTAACTCCGTCTCTTGTTTTCCTCCTCTCCTGCCTGTTTACCCATTACACCCCACCACCCATCCAGGACCTTGTGACCAAGCCCATTTTTACTTGTTGCACCTATACCCACACTAAACTAAAATATTTTGCAGCAATATCCTTGCAGATGTTTTGCTTGCTATAACCATCATGGCCAAAGACCCCCTGCCCTGTACAATGTACATACATTAATGTAAGTATTCCCCCTGTGTAGGACTGAGGAGCTCAGAAGAATATGACAGTTTGAAAAGGCACAACCTCTCTACAGAAGAGTTTTGCAGATATCACATGGGAGTGTCTCATTTGATTTTAAACTGGAGGCTGTTAATTTGTGAATGGAATTCTACATACCACAAATACAGTAACAGGGAGAAGCCCATGCTTTTCTTCATCTGTTTTGAAAACTTAATTTAAACTGATTGCTTTTTGAACAGCATAAACTGCAAGAGGCCCAAGGATTCAAATATAGGCATATATTTTTTATTTCTTTGACTGGGTTAATTTCCCTCTTTCCCATCTAAAGCTCCACAGTAAATCCCCATGGGTCAGTTACTATAACTACTTTACATTGCTGAATTCTGTTAGCAATCTGCTCATCATTCCTGCAGATGTTTCTGCTTTTAGGCTTCTTGGAACTACAAGGGACTCATTCCTTTGAATAAACATATGCCCTTTGTAGGCTGCAGATGTACCAGGGACAACACTGTCCTCTACACCACCTCACCTTCTTTTTTGGTAAAAGTAAGATGATACTTTCCAGAGAAAACAAGTGGGAAGCAAGCAATCTGAACTTTTTCCCCCCTTCTAAGACATTTCTGAAAAGAGAGTGCTACATGCACCCATATGCCCTGGGACTGGACAATGCAATCTGTGGAGGCCAAACGCCCCAGCACACAGAAATCTCAGGCAGATAGACTGGAGAGGTCAGGTCCTGTAAGCAGAGAGCAAACATTCACATACAAGGACCGTGCCTTTCAACAGAAATATGATGTAAGCCTTATACCATCTCATTATTAAATTTTACATGTTGCTAATAACGCAGAAGGTTCTTCCACTCACCTCAGTAACGTCCATGACTTTGATGGCTGCCAGCTGACCCGTTTTGACATGGCGACCCTGAGTAAGACAGAGAGAGAATAGTCAGCACCAGCATCTCACCCATCTCTTCAGCTTACACAGAGCAAAACACTTGGACAAGAGTTCCAGTCACTGGGTTTTCCCCAGCAATGCTGGACCCTTCTGATACTTCCTAGGAAATACCACAAATACTCTAGATGGCTAAAACAACAACAAATTTAAAATGTTCCTCTTCAAATTTTAATATCCATTTCTTTTTCTCCACATTAAAATGATGTTTATCAAGTATAAACAGGTTATATTCACAGCTTCCTTTCTGTTTACTTTAGCAAAGCTCATCAGTAATGATAGTTTATTAACATGCCAGAATAAATTCCACATGTTGCATGTTTTATTCATATGAACAATACCTAGTACACAGATGATATATTACATGCTTTACCTAGTAAGCATGGTTAGCCCATTATTAGGGCTTTCTCACTGATTTGGTCTTTCCAAATAAAAGAAGTAGGGTTTCTGCAAGGGATGCATCAGACCTGCAAGAGCTCTCTCTGCTTGTCTCACAGTGGCTAGACAAGAACAGAACATCATCTCCCTTCAGCTACACCACAGTAAGGGTACAGTTTCTCAGTACAGCTGGAGCTGACTTAATAGATCCCAGCTCCTGCAGCAGGGAGCTCCTACCCTTCCTTCCTCTGCCTCCTTCCAGCCTCCTGTCACATATTTCTCCCAGGAGCACTGAGCTCCTTCTGGCACTCATTGTATCATATGATAAGCTGATTGAGATCACTAAAATGGCAGAAAGTTAACACAGAAAAAGCAAACTGTGGGGTGGGGCAGGGGATTGCAATCCAGGAAATTAAACTGGTTTGTTCTGCAGAGAAAACAGAGCTGGAGCCAGGAGGATGCAGATCACAGGGCTGGGAGGCAAGCAGCATGGCAGGCCCCTCCAGCTCTGGTGGACTGTAACTCGCCTCAGCTGACTTCTAACAAGAGCCTTTTTCTCTCCAGTGTATGTTTACATGAGGTAGAGACATCAATTAGCTGTTGTGTACTTTTTTTTCTAAACAGGCACTTAGAAATGGTCCCAATATTGGTATTTTCCAGCTCTCCACTTAACACTCAGCAGTGTTACACCCAGGAGACTATCTTAAACCAGCCAAACAGCCCAATCTCCCAACCACTTTCCCAGGCACCACCTCCAAAGGTTCTTATCTGCATCAGTCAAGCTCACTAGCAACAGGTATGCCCATTAAATGTCTTCACTTTTATCACAAATAATGATAAGAACACAACTGAACATTTAACTGAAGTCACAGTTCCTTTATTTCTCTCCTCAGCAATTTCTGAGTTTCCTAGGCAGAAACCTATATGATGGACATGAAGTGTATTTTTTGCCTAGACTAACCTCTTTACAGGGTCTTTTGAGATTGGCACCCCAGAACTGAAGCACCCCAAACCACTGGTCTATTTAGAGAAATCCTGACCCTTTCACACCTTATGATGCCCTCCATGGAGGCAATGGCCAGGCATTGCCGGTGCATTCAAAAGGACAAAATGCTGCAGAATTCACTGCCTCAGCTTTCTTCCACAACTCTTCTTGTGCTTCACTCTCCCCCTTACTAACGTGCTTTCTATAAATACATTACTGAGCTCAGGCTTTTGCTTGCTCTGTAAACTGGCTTTACCACAGGCATTTCTTTTTACAGCTTGGTCTCAAGCTGGTTTTGATTTTGAAACAAAGTTAAGGGTCGTAATGTGTGCAGTAGCCAACACTGACCTCACCTTGACCTTACTACTCCTTGAACAAAGTCTTTCAGCAAGCCCAAGAGACTTCCAACTCCAATTTCCCACCCTGGACTTCTGCCTAATGACAAAAGTCTGTGGTCTTCTCCTTCAAGACTTATCATCCCACAAGGAAGGAGGGGAAAATGGCTTACACTGAGGTGGAAAAATGCCTGCTCTCATCTCTGCCCCCATTTTCCACAGCTTTGTTGAAGGAATTTGAAAGACCAAGGACATGGGAAGTACAGTTTTAGGTACAAAAAGAATATGCTAAAGATAACAGAGAAACAAAGACATCTCTGAAGAAAAAACCCTCACAACACTACGGAGGTCTGAACAGAGAAACTTTTTTTAAAAAGCAGTGAAATACAGTTCCCCATTCACTCTGCAGCAAAGTGGAGGTGCTAAAATGGTGGCAGAATATACTCAAGCAAAAAATGTGGCATGCAGAAGAGCAAAGTAGCAGGACAGGATGCCATTTTCACGGAATTTTTACTTTATTTGTCTTTTTAAATCTACTAACTACTGGTGGGCTTGCTATTTCCAGAGAGACATCTAAAATTTCCCAGTGCTCAACTTCACAGCTTTTCTGAAGTCAATGTTCCTCCCTGTGAGACTGGCCCACTCAGGATGACTAATGTGCACCAGCCCTACCATACTTCCCCTGCAGCTTTACGGGATCCTGCTGGTGCCTCCACGAGTGTCCCTATGAAAACGGGGGCCAGCTACAGCAGAACACAGCCACTGCTCATGTTTCACTTTGCTTCTTCTGGGAGAGGAAAAGCTTCTACATAACCCTCCTAAGGGACTGAAAGCAAGGGAACTGCAGAGTGTGGGAAGTGTGGTCTGCTCAGTATCCCAGACCAAATTTAAACCCTGGTCACTTCAGAATATTGTTTAAAATTACTCCAAATACCCTTTTCATAACGTATGGAGCACTTATACTCTAAAAATCTACAACATATGGGGAGGAGGAGGGATGGCCTGCATGACATTAATTTATATGGGAGAGGTAAAAACGACATTTGAAGCCACATTCTTTTCATTAAAAATATTTTCAGAGGGCGGGAAAAAACAAACACCACAAGCACAGCATATAAGCATGAGCAGAGCATTTGTTTGTTTGTTTATTTGCTTAACAGCTCTGCTCAAGAACAGACCTGTCAAACTATTAGCATGCTGGTATAATTTTGTTTGCAACATGAAATGGCTAAGCATTCCCATTTTGGAAACCAATCGTCAGATTTTCACGGCCAGCTTTTGCTTTGGAAAATTTTGTCAGTGTTAAAGAGAGTAATAATAAAATTGCAATGTGGTTGAATGTGAAGAAAAAAACTGCAGAAATCATAGATAGGAGAAACCCTCTGAACTCAATCTCCTGAGATTAAAATTTATTAAAATTCTGCTCACAGGGCACTTTACAAACACAGTAACCATCAAGGCTCCATCCAGACACCCCATCTCAGCAACACCTCTCCACTGGGATAAGATTTTTCATGCAGAATGAGGCCTCTGCTTCAGTGCAGTGTGGACACACGGCCCCTCAGGGCATGCAGGCGTCCCTGTCCCCATAGCAAGGCAGAGCTTCTTGCAGCTTTGTTTCTCCAGGCAAATTGTTGGCAATTACCATCTAGATATCTGAAAAGCTCTGCAATATTGCAAAATGCAACCCATGCTAACTGAAACAGCAGTTTCTTAAAATATTGCTAGGCGCCAAATATCAGAGGCTGAGGATCACAAGACACTGTCCCACAGCCAGAATGTTGTGTGGATATGAAATGTGCAATGAAGACAACAGCAACCTAGAAGGATCTTTGTAAGCTAAGGTGACTGTCTCCAGAGCCTGAGGAAGCTGCAGAGGTTTCTTCAAATAGTGGCAGCAACAGGTAGAAAAGGCTACATCATCCTGGGAGTGAGAGTTTGCCTCTTACAGGGTTTCAGCATGGGAACCACAAGAAAACATCAGCACTGTCAGCTGGTCCCCATGGAAATGAGCCTGCCAACACATTCCCTTCATTTAGACCACATTAAGATGTTATTCACCAAAATTTCAGAACTACTTCTTGTTTCTTACACATTCTCCCCACTTTTCTCTCCTTCATTTCATGGTTCTATTCATATTAAAGCACTTGCTTTATCCTCCCAAGGAAGCAGCCTAAGAATATTTTTAAGAGTGCTACTTGTACTACTGCATTTTTAAATGGCCTGTTGGGATGAGCAAGTCAATGGAATTGAGACTGCCAACCTCAAATCTTGTCTTCTTTCTTCTCATACAGATGACTGCAAGTTCATATACATAGAGCTGTAGTTCTCATCAACACTGCAATACTGCAGCATTTAACTGGATCTTAAACTGAATCCACTACTTAAGCACATTCCTAGTCATGTCTGAGAGCAATATGGTGTTTATTTCTCATCTCAGTGGGCTTTATGCATGTTGAAAAGCAGAGGGGCAAGGGGAATCCGTAGTAGACTGCCAAGATCTGCAGAACATTATAAATTTCAAGTCTTCCCACACCCTCCAAGCCAGTTAATACACCTACTTCTTGCCTCTTTCTTCCTTTGCACACGTTATTACTGTAAAATTTTTAGTTTAGAAAGGTTCAAAGGCAAGTGGTGTTATGTGCTGTTTCTCATGGTGCTCTTTTTCTCTTGTGCCTTAATGTTATCAAAGAACTATGCAAATTAAGTGCAAAAAAAGTTCCATCAGCTAACTCACCTCTTTTCCTTTCCCCCCCCCCCCCCCCCCCCCCCAATTACCCAAGATATCAATGCCACAGTAATGTACTCTCCTACTAACACAGTTTCAGACCTGTGTATTCACATGCCTCTGGGAGACTGTTCCTGGAAGCTTGCTCCCCAGCTAAATGGCATGGAAGCAGCATATGGGGCAACACCACACATTAAGGAAGGAATGCACCATTTGTGACTCATTACTTGCAAGTTGGGATTATCCTGTGCACTGTACACAATTAAGTCTTTGGTAAACTTCTCCCAGCTCTCAATATTCTATGCTGACAGTTGTAGAAAGAAGAGGAATTGATTTGAAATAAACAAACAAACTACTAATCCAATTTCAGTTGCCACACTGCACACAGAAGCAGCAGATTTAGACATGCCATCAAGTGAAAATTCCACAGTACCACCTCTTAGTAGTGAGTGCTGTACAATGCCCCTATGGCAAACGTAACTTTCCATTTCACTTCTCATTCAGTTGACTCTTAACTCCTACCAGCCTGAGGCAACAGGCCATG